GAGGCGGAGTTCACACGGTTAATGATCTGACAGGGGGCCGGTGGCTCACACAGTCAATGATTCTGACAGGGGCGGGGCTCACACAGTAATGATCTGACAGGGGGCGGAGCTCACACACGATCTGACAGAAGTGTATAAAGGCAGTTATGACATGGACACATGCATGAGCTATTATACATAATTACAAAAGCTGATTCTGTTATCACTGCATCTTCTCATGAGTAGGAGCAAATGCCTTGGGGGACGGTGGCACAGACGGGGACAGGGCTCGCACAGTAATGATCTGACAGGAGGCGGAGCTCACAGTAATGATCTGACAGGAGGCGGAACTCACAGTAATGATCTGACAGGAGGCGGAGCTCACACAGTAATGCTCTGGCAGGAGGTGGAGCTCACACAGTAATGCTCTGGCAGGAGGCGGAGCTCACACAGTAATGCTCTGGCAGGAGGCGGAGCTCACACAGTAATGCTCTGGCAGGAGGTGGAGCTCACACAGTAATGCTCTGGCAGGAGGTGGAGCTCACACAGTAATGCTCTGGCACGGGGCAGAGCTCACACAGTAATGTTCACTGGCCAGCTGCTCACCCCCTACTGTGCAGCCCGGTTCCTAACAGGCCATGGAATGGTACCAATCTGTGGCCTGGGGATTGGGGACCCCTGATTTAAATAATCGAGGACACACTGACCTAGTAAACCATCTGCCAAGAAAAGGGAGGAAATACTAGTTTTCTCCATTTGCTCTCAGGCACCAACATTAATTTGAACTTAGAAATAAACTACAACAAGGCCAGGCATGGTGGTTCACACCTATAATTCCAGCACTTTGGGAGGCCAAGGAGGAAGGATCACCTGAGCCCAGGAGTTTGAGACCAGCCTAGGCAACATAGTGAGACCCTGTCCCTACAATTAAAAAATAAATTAGCTGGGCATGGTGGTGCACACCTGTAGCCCCAACTACTCAGAAGGCTGGGTTGGGAAGATCACTTGAGCCGCCCAGGAGTTTGAGGCTGCAGTAAACTGAGACTGCACCACTGCACTGATCCTGTCTCAAAAAAAGAAAAGAAAAAAAAGAAACCACAACAAAATATCTGGATTTTGATGTAACAGAATACAAAGATTATTACATTTGATTTTTAGGTCAACAAATATGACTAAAGTCATAATAGTAAAATATTTTAAATGGATTTGGAAATAAAAGAAAGTTTGTTCATTTGTATTTTATTTAAGAGCTGTGCCCAGTTTTATCATCTCACAAGAATGAAGCAAGGGACAAAGGTAAGTGCCACGTTCCCTGGCCACTGGGTTCCTGGCAAGCTACCAGCCACTGGGTGCCAATCTCCCTTCAATGTACTCCTTTTTCCCCGGAGTGCAGAAGCGTATAAAGGCAGTTATGACATGGACACATGCATGGGCTATTATACATAATTACAAAAGCTGATTCTGTTATCACTGCATCTTGTCTCATCAGTAGGAGCGAATGGCTGGGGGGACGGTGGCACAGTCAGCCTCGTTCAAAGTTTTGTCGATTACGGGTCTATATTCCAGAGTGACCTTGAAAAGAACAATCAGTGGTAAGCATAAAAATGTACAAAAAGCCATCTCATGTATTCCTTTTGAAAAATTTTAACTATAAAAGTAGATTAATGGCATGGGAACTTAAAGGTATTTGCTGCAGTCTTTTCCAATAACAAATTCGAAAATGATCTACATGCACAACAGGGGACTGTAAATGGCGGCAGATCCCTAGAGTGGAACAGAGCGACGAAATGACCCTGTGCCAGATTCTCAGTGCTTTACAAAAATGCTCCCGTCATGAAAAGTGGGAGAACCCTTGTCTATACCGAGACACTGTATGTTTAAACTACCTACTTCCAGTTCAAAGTAAATATTTACATAGGTTGAACATCCCTAATGCAAAAATCTGAAATTCTCCAAAATCTGAAGCTTTCTGAGCACCAACATGACATTCAAAAGAAATGTGCTATGGAGTCAGATCTTCCGACTGGGACGTTCAGACAGTAAGTATCATGCAGATATTCCAAAGTCTGAACAAGCCTGAAATCCGAAACACTTCTGGTCCCAAGGATTTCAGAGAAGGAATACTCAAGTTGTGTATTAAATATGCACACACAGGAAAAGGTAGGCACATACACAAAGAAATTTAAACCATAATGGGTCGTCTCTGGTTGTGAGCTCTTATTTCAATCTCTTTGTACTTTCTGAAATAAGTATGTATTTCTTGAAAAATCACTAAAACTGGCTAAGCGTGTTGGTTCATGCCTGTTGGGGAGGTCAAGACAGGTGGATCACTTGAGTTCAAGACTAGCCTAGGCAACGTGGCGAACCCCATCTCTACAAAACATACAAAAATTAGCCAGGCATGGTGGCGTGTGCCTGGGAGGCTGAGGTGGGAGGATCACCTGAGCCAGGGGGAGGTTGAGGCTGCAGTGAGACAAGATCGAGCCACCACATTTCAGCCTGGGCAACAGAGATGAGACTGTCTCAGAAAAACAAAAAACCCGAACCTGGAAACATTAAAAATAGACTTGTGCTAAGCGAGTGAGGTGTGATTTCTATATACGATCAGGAAATGGCCTTCATGATAAATTCTGAAAATGACCTACTGCCTGAATTAGACACACTAGATGATAGTGAGAGTCCAAAGGTAACTTCCACAGACACAGATAAGTGATTATACGACTATCTCTTACGCTTTTAGCTTTCAGCCTCTTAAACTTTTAGCCTTAAGCTACTAAAAGCTTAAGGCTAAAAGCTTTCTATCTTCATTATTTCTCAATCTTAATGCCCAGCGGAAATGCCACACAGGTGAACTGTGCTTGTGTGGAACAAGGCTGCAAACCCCCTACCACACCCTTGGCTGGTTGTTCCCAGGACACTGCTCACCCCAACCCCTCCTCAATTTCTGCCCTTCGCTTCTCTGCTTGCTCAGTGCCCAGGGGATGCTAAGGGCTGCACCACATCCCCTCGGCTCCCCTGCAGATGCTTGCAGTTGGGCCAGCCCAAGGGAGGAGAGGGGAGGGGTCTCTTCTGGGCTCCCTTGGCTTGGGACTGGTTTCTGGTAGTGGCTGTGTGTCCCCACCCCACAGACGCTGACTTTCTCCCTAAGTCCACAATCCTCATCTCCTCCCCGCTCACCAGGCCTTGGACACTTGCTCCTGCCCAGTGACTTCCATCTGGCCCACACCACGGAGCAGCCCTTCCTTAAGGCTCCTCTGAACCACTTGCAGGCGCTGGATTCTGTTTCCAGCCAGAAGCCTGACTGCTGTCAGAGTGCCTTTTTCAGTGGTGCCTCAAATCTGTCAGGAGTTGATTTAAATCCGGCCTGCTCCTCCCCGTTCACCATCAGCAAGGTCGGCCCGCGAACCTGGGCAGGGCCGTGCGCATTTTGGGCTGTGGTGAGAACGAGCTCCACACTGACCTTCCCAGTGCTGACGTCCACATAGGACAGGGTGTGCTTCCTCCAGTGCTCCTCAAAGGGCTTCTTCTGTTGCCCCTGGATGGGCTTGGAGTAATCGTACTCATCAATCCGCACCTGAGGCCAGAAACACCATCACATATCTTATTATTCTAACAGAGCAATACAGAAAAAACACAGGAAACATTAAAATGATCTAAGAGACAGATGCCCTAGAACTCATTCCATTTCCACTTCAGCCCCGGCACCATCAACATGTTCAGAACCCACGGAGGCCACATGGCTGGTCGGGGGATGTGCAGCCAGCAGTGAGTCCAGAGTAATCCGTGTCCGCACGTTCCCTTAGACACCCTTTATGTACCTAAGAGTTTACCACTTTGTCTTTCTGCTGCATGCGCTGGGAGACTACCTTCTACCTCAATCTTTTCTTTCAGCCTGTTTTTATTTTTAAAACATTTTTTCTTTTGAGACAGGCTCTCGCAATGTCACCCGGGCTGGAGTGCAGTGGTGTGATCACAGCTTGCTGGAGCCTTGACTTCCCGGGCTCAATCATCCTGCCTCAGCCTCCTGCACGTACCACCACGCCTGGCTAATTTTTTGTGTAGAGACAGGTTTCACCATGTTGCCCAGGCTGGTCTAGAACTCCAGGCTCAAGTGATCTGCCTGCCTCAGCCTCCCAAATGCTGGGATTAGAGGCGTGAGCCACTGCACCTGGCTTCTATTCTAATTAAAACTCATTGTGACCAACTGAATTTATACTACTGGCTAGGCACAGTGGCTCATGCCTGTAATCCTAGCACTTTGGGAGGTTGAGGTAGGTGGTTCACTTGAGGTCACGAGTTCAAGACCAGCCCGGCCAACATGGTGAAACCCCAACTCTACTGAAAATACAAAATTAGCCAGGCATGGTGGCATGCGTCTGTAATCCCACCTGCTTGGGAGGATGAGGCAGGAGAATCACTTGAACCCAGGAGGCAGAGCTTGCAGTGAGCTGAGATCGCGCCACTGCACTTCAGCCTGGGGGACAGCGAGACTCTATCTCAAAAAAATAAAAATAAAAATAATAAATTTATTTTTATTCTGTATTCTGGCAAACACGGATTCATATACTTTGCAGGAAAGACTCTTAATATGTACAAGGAGGCAAGAGCAAGTTCTGAGCAGTGATCACAGCCATCAGCATATTCCAATGGAGGGTAAATCGGTAAAATTTCATGGTGAATAAAAATGATTTCCCACTCACCGTGCTCAGCGGACTGGAAAGGTCACCAGCCGCCGCCCACACACGGTCCGGAACCAGCCTGTGTGCCTGCCTTGTGCAGCCTTTGTCCTTTTGCTGATGTGGTTTATCCTGAACTTGCATTTGTTCCCCAAGCTTCCCTTTCCGTGTTTTTTTGCTATCGTATGTGAAAAACTCTTACCAGGCAGAATCCAACACGTGTGCTCTGCACAAAAATCAGTTCACCTGAAGAACAAGTGACCACAGGGCAGGCTCTATAATACCTTTTCCAAACCACAGGGCAGGTCTGAAACGGTGGCTTACTTGTTATTTAATAAACTGGCATTTCCTCCACAGGGCAGGTCTGAAACGGTGGCTTACTCGTTACCTCCACAGGGCAGGTCTGAAACGGTGGCTTACTCGTTACTTAATAAACTGGCATTTCCTCCACAGGGCAGGTCTGAAACGGTGGCTTACTCGTTATTTAATAAACTGGCATTTATTTCCTGGTCATGCCACTCTGGCTGCACTTCTAAACTTGGCCTTCTAAGAGCAAAGCGCACTGGCTTGGAGATGCCACTGCCGCCATCAGTGGAGACTGACCCAAAGCCAGGAAACGGTCACAGTGATCCAGAGGATGGCGGGAACCCAGGGATCAAAGTTACCAGGGGGAAAAAGGCGTTTTTTGGATTTACTTTTGGGGAAATGAAATAAAATGCAGAGAAAATGCAGGGGTGGGGCTGAGTCCCACCAGGTGGGAGGAAAAGGCAGGCGCAGGTGGGTGTGGCGAGAAGGCGCACCTTGTAGTCTTCCCTGGCGTGTGCGCCCCGTGACTCCTTCCGCGCCTCTGCTCCGTAGATGGTCTGCAGCGCACACAGCATCAGGTTCTGCAGCTCCAGGGTCTCCACCAGGTCCGTGTTCCAGACCATTCCTGGGGACACAAAAAGTTCCATCAGGGGCAGGCGGGACCCGTCACAGGGGCCTACTGAGCTGTCAGCCTGGGCCTGCTAGTCCGTGGAGCCACTGGTTATGGCTTTATGGCTGTGGGCCAGGACCCATCCGGACAGCAAGCATGGAACTAAGTCAGCACTGACGGCACAGACACCAGCCCACCCTACAGAAGGCAGGGCCCAACGCTGCACAGAGCCCGCTGTGCTGTCTGCTCACCCCGGTCAAACGTCTTCAGGTGCTTCAGGTCTCCGTAGAGCTTGCTGATTTTCCCACAACCTTCTTGCAACACGCTTCCCACACGGAACACGGCAGCATGATTTTGCATTGACTGTGACACAAAATATTATTGGTAAACTTTTAATTCATAGAAGCAGCCACACCAAGAACTGCTTAACTTTCAGACCTGTTGTTTTGCATTTCATTTAAAAGTTGCGTAAACAGAAAAATTAGGAAATTCAGATGAGTTTATTACTCTGAACTTAAAAATGAAGTTTTGACTAAAGCTTCTGAATACATGTTTCTATTACATACACATCTTAGACCCAGACACATCCTTTCCAGTGGGATACAGCCAGGCTCCAGGACTCCAAGCAGACTGCCTGTGAGGCATCATGTTCCACATGGCTCTGCGGCCAAGCAGGAAACGCTGCCTCCCCACACCCCTGGCGGGACTCCTGACGTGGGGTCTGGTGGTGAACGTGACACAAGCCAGCAGCCCTGTGGTGACACACACTAGGAGGACCTGAGCAGAGCCCTGGTGATGGTGGGGTTGGAGCCGAAGGTCTTCAGTGAGAGGGAGGGGCGTGGGTGGCTGGGGCCCTTGGCCCATCTGGCTACTGTCTTCTGCCTATTTTGTAAAAGCTTCTTATACACTGACTTCCTTCATAGTTTTACTGTGGCGAGAAACGTGCCATGCAGTGGACCTGAAGTTTACTGTAGGTGTGCTGGCAACCGGGCGTCAGCTTTTGCTTCCTGTGGGACAGACAGATACCACCTCCGTGATCCCTCCTCCTCCTTGCTTCTCCCTCTAACTCTGCTTTGCTCCACTGACCCTAATTGTTTCCTCCTCTACCAATGCACCTTCATGGTTTAATTTGGACATTTCATCTGATTTTCCTTAGACTCATACATAATCATGACACTGCAATGCACATCAACCTAATGGTTTTTCAGGAAGAACAAATGAAAAAAGTTGCATCTCAGAATCTAGTATTACATTCTTTCATGTCCTTTAGCAGCCACGTTTTCATATCCTTTCTTGTATTTCTGGTTACATTATTTCAAGGCATTTTTAATTTTTTGTTTGAAATGTGAATGAGATATTTACTGATGTCTGAGCAGATTACTGCTGGCACATCGCAAAGCTACTGATTTTTAGATACAAATCTCTTATCTAGACACCTTACTGCATTCTTGTTTTGTTTCTGTTAGTTTTTCAGTTTATTCTCTGGGAATTTTTTGGAAATTATGTCTGTAAATGATAGCAATTTTATCTATTCCTTTTCAATATTTACTGCTGAGACCAACTCGGTTGTGGAGACCCTAACCCAGCAGCACTAGAGGAATTAAAGACACACACAGAAAATAGCTTGTGGAGCGGGAAATCAGGGGTCTCACAGCCTTCAGAGCTGAGAGCCTCGAACAGAGATTTACCCACATATTTACTGACAGCAAGCCAGTCATAAGATTTACTAAAAGTATTCCTTACGGGAAACAAAGGGATGGGTCTGGCTAGTTATCTGCAGCAGGAACACGTCCTTAAGGCACACATTGCTCATGCTACTGTCTGTGGTTTAAGAAACACTTAAGCGGTTTTCCGCCCTGGGTAGGCCAGGTGTTCCTTGCCCTCATTCCGGAAAACCCACACCTTCCAGCATGGGCGTCATGGCCATCACGAGCACGTCACAGCGCTGCAGAGATTTTGTTTATGGCCAGTTTGGGGGCCAGTTTATGGCCAGATTTGGGGGCCTATTCCCAACAATTTACCTCATTTCTTTTTTTGATTCTTACTATTAATAGCCAGAGTCAGCAGAAAAATCCCTTCCCCCAACGAAACGCATTTCCACAAGCACAGGAAGCTCTGTTTGTTCAGTGCTGACTCCAGCATCTCACGGAGCCTGCGATACAGCAGGCACCAAGACACACCTTGTTTGGTGAGAATGCTTCTAGTATTCTCACTTCAAACTGTCTCACGGATTTGCCATTTCTGTATCCTAAGGCATGTTCCCATTCTCTAATACAATGGTTCCTTCTCTCACAGCTGGCCTCCAACCCTACAAAAGTACTGCAGAGCATCCCTTAGCCTTCTGTGCCTTAGTCACACTGTTCTCACCGTTCCACAAAGCCTCCTTCAAGCCCAGCCTCACTTGAAGACCGAAGGGCACAGGCCTCTGAAAATGTCAGCAGGGAACGTGTTCTCTTGTGTCTTAACACCATATGCCTTTCAGAATAGGACTAAAGCAATGGACTTCTTTTTAGAAAATACGCAGAAATTCTTGCAAATAGTAGACAAGAGATCTCATTCATGGACAAGAATCCTTGTTATTAGAGGAATTCAGTTTCTCAGACTGACTATATATCAAGTTCTCCACAGCCCTCTGTGGCTAATGGCTGCCATACTGGACGGCAAACACTCGGAACATTTCCATCGTCACAGACGGTCCTATTGGACCGACTCCCAGCAGCACAGGCCGCACACATCAGTTTCCACCTGCCGCCCACTCGCCCTCTCTTCTGAGTATATTCAGGGGCAGCCACAGGCCCAGCTTAAAGACATTTCCAAGCTGCTGGAAGCCAGGCATGATGACATGATCAATATGTGGGCCTGAGATGTAAGCACCAGTATTATGTTGAACTCCAGGAAACCTGCGAAGAGAAAGCTACCCTGCTGGGGACTGAGCTTCTCCGGCAGTCCTGCTGCTCCCTCTCCTCCACGCTGTGACTCATCCATGACAGCCTGCGACGGTCAGGGCACAGAGGTCACGCCCAAGCACACACGAGTGAACCAGAGAAGGCTGTCCTGGATGCTAAGCAGTCACTAATTCTGCCCTAGCCTGCTGACCTTCTATGTGGAAAAGTGCACTTCTGTATAGTTCAGGCCTCCTGGTCTCTTTCATATTCTTGATATGGTGAGGAGTACGTCCTACTGCTGTTTACCTCGATACTGGTGCAGCCTCGTATGTTTACCGCAGCACTAGTCACAACAGCAAAGTCATGGAATCAACCTAAGTGCCCATCAGCGGATGACCGGACAAAGAAAATGTGGTACATAAACACCATGAAATACTCAGCCATAAAAAAATAACGCACTCATGTCTTCTACAGCCACGTGGATGGAACAGGAGGTCACTCTCCTAAGTGAAGTGACTCAAGGTCAAGTGTCACATTCTTACTTGGAAGTGGAAGCTGAACGGTGAGTACACGTGGCCACACGGAGTGGACTAACAGAGACTGGGGGCTCCAAAAAGTGGGAGGGGTGGGGATGAGCAATTACCTGCTGGGTACAACATACACGACTTGGGTGACGTGAAAAGCCCAGACTCCACCACCTCACGGTACATCCACACAAACTGCACCTGCATCCCCCTAAATCTATTTTTAAAAAAACAAAACCAGTGCAGGGCCAGGTATGCAGCCGGCCTGCTCACTCCAGAGCGAGTCCAGGCTCTTACCTTCTGCATGCTGAGTCGAAGTTCCGACGTTCTTATGCTTCCGTCAGCAAATCTCAATTTGTCAAGATTCATGACAGATTCTTCCCCAGCATTTGGTTTAATTGGAGGGACTTTATCTCCTAAAACAAAAAAAAGTTAGAATTTAACTTTTCAAAACTATTTTAAAAAACCAAATGGATTTAGAATGACACAAAAATACGTAGCACAGCCGCTCAAGGAGCTTGGAAACTGCGAAAGTCTCCTCAGCTAACACACGGCCAGCCCACCCTACATCTGAGGTCATCTGTTGAGTTGGGGCCAGTTTTAAAGAACATACATAAAGGCAAAATTGTTGGCACACAGTAGATATCCATTAACTTATCTTAGAGTGAATAACAGGTCATTTTGTGTTTTAGTAGAAATGAGGTTTTGCCATGTTGGCCAGGCTGCTCTTGAACTCTCTGACCTCAAGTGATCCACCTATCTCGGCCTCCTAAAGTGCTGGGATTACAGGCGAGAGCTACCGCACCTGGCCTTCATTTAATTTTTTAATTTTAGAGATGATTTCTAGTG